GAGAGAGCTCTGAGAGGACTGCTCTTGAGAGAACAGCTCAGAGAGAACTGTGACTGACCCAAGATCACCTAGCTGGCTTTCATGTGGAGGAGTGAGGACTCAACCTCCCCCAGATTACAGTCCACCGCTCTTAACCACTACACCAAACTGGCTTTTATTGGGTGAACGGGTTTTAACTGCTGTTAACTTTCTGGCAGGAAGAATTACAAATGTGCTGGGCTGGACAGACCAGTGGTCAGCTTCATAAAAGTAGCCCTTAGGTTGGATGAACCAATAGTCTCATCTGAGGTATGAAGCATCCTTCATGGGTTTAAATGCGAGTCCTAGATTGATGACTATTACTGCTGTGTAATGGGAAAGCATTTTGTTCAGGATTACCTGTGGTGACGTAACCCACCAAGGGCTCGCTCTCTTCGAAGCCCCGGATCGACATCACGCTGACCTCATAGCTGGTCCCGGGGGTCAGGCCTTTGATGACCGTTCTTAGCGTGGATCCATCCACAGAGATGCTTCTCGGCTCTCCTGCAACAGAAGACCCGAACTCCAATCTTCTCTGGAGACATCACGCTGACCTCATAGCTGGTCCCGGGGGTCAGGCCTTTGATGACCGTTCTTAGCGTGGATCCATCCACAGAGATGCTTCTCGGCTCTCCTGCAACAGAAGACCCGAACTCCAATCTTCTCTGGAACTCCCCGCAGTTTTATATTATATCTCCCCAACTCCTCTTCTGTTTCCTCCAATCTTTCTTTGATCTCATTGTCTCCCTCTTCCCACCCTCCCCAGCCTAGGGTAAGAGGATCCAGAAACCTACCCCCATCCAATGGCTGGAAGGAAATTTTGTAGCGGTCAACGCGAGAGGACGGTGCTGTCCAGTTCGTCATGACGGATGTCTCGCGGATGTCACTGAACCGCAGGTCCCGGGGACTGTCCAGCTCTGGAGAAAGAGAAGAGATGGGCTTGGAGAGACCTTTGGGTCTCACTCGCTCGCGGCGGGCGAGTAAGTTGCTGCCTTTACTGATCTGGGAGAGTCAGCCATGTTAGTCTTTCACTCAAAATAGTAAAAAGCCCAGTAGCACCTTGAAGACTAGCAAACTTTATTGTAGCATAAGCTTTGGAGAAACACAGCTCTCTTCATCAGATGCATCTGACGAAGAGAGCTGTGTTTCTTGAAAGCTTATGCTACAATAAAGCTTGTTAGTCTTCAAGGTGCTGCTGGGCTTTTTACTATTTTACTGATCTGAACAGTCTCCTGTGCCTTTAGCTGCTGCATAGCAGGAGGAAATGCAACAGGCAAAACTTCTCCCATCATGCATCAATGAGATGAAATTGCACCTGGTGAATTTCAGAACTGCTGGGTGGCTTTTAAAGGCATGCAGATGGCCTGCTGGGAAAGAGAAAGAACAGCTGTTGACTTGAAGGCGTGGAAGGCAAGTAGCTTTTATTTAATGGGGAAAAGGTGAAGCTACCCTGGCCTCATGTCAGAGGAGTCAAAATATGATCTTCTTTCCTTCCACTGCCTCTGTGCGTTTTGTATTGCTCACACTGGCTCAGCTGTGGATTCTTAGAATAAATGACTGCAAATTAGCCAACCCCCCCTGTATGGTTTTATGTAGCGAAGATCTTAAGGGTGGGGGGAAAAACCCTCTTATTATATTTCTATCCTCCAAGGAAGTCTGTGCAGCCTATACAGATCTCCCTTCATCCATTTTATCCTCACAACAACCCTGTGAGGTAGGTCAAGCTGAGAAAGTGACTGGCCCAAAATCATACGGTGAGCTGTGGAACGATTTGAAGCCAGGTCTCCAGACCCTAACCGGACACTCTAATCACTACACCACAAACTGGCTCTCAGGAAAGCTTGGTGTTCCCACCCAAAGAGCTCCAGGTGGCAAACTTGGTTCTCCCCTCCCTCCCACAAAGAAGCGTGAAGGTTGTTGGCGTCAGGCTACGAGTCTTTGCTTCAGCTACAATTCAAACTCAGTCTGAATCCTAGACAAAGCTTGTATGTCAGCTACCATGTAGGGCAGGGGCCCGAAGCCTTTTGGAGCCTGCGGGCACCTTTGGAATTCTGACCCGGGGGGATGGGCACAACAACAAAATGGCTGACACAGGAGGCGGAGCCAGCCACAAAAGGTCAGAGCGTTAAGACATGGATAACACTAACTGTAACCCTTCAATGTTTCAAGAAGAAGCTCTGCTTAAGAAGAAGAGATTGGATTTTATACCCAACCCTGCACTCGGAGTCTCAGAGTGGTTTACAAACTCCTTTCCCTTCCCCTCCCCACAACAGGGCCGAGAGAGCTCTGTCCAGAACTGCCCTTGAGAGAACAGGTCTGACAGAACTATGGCTTGCCCAAGGTCATCCAGCAGCTGCAAGCGGAGGAGTGGGGAATCAAACCCAGTTATCCCAAATTAGAGTCCACGAGTTTAGCCACTACACCAACCCAACCTTTAAAAAGAAACAAGTTGTTTTAGAATATTTTCTTCCATACACACAGTTTACTTTCAGTCATGCAGTATAGATCCTCGTGCTGTGGTGGCAGCTGCTGCCAAAGCAATACTTGTTTTAAAGATATGTACAGCCAATCAGATCTCCAACGGTTAATCAGAAGCCCAGCTGGACAAAAGCCTCATCTGGCCCCACCCACTTTCTAAAACATCTGGTGAGTACCAGGACAGGTGTTGGTGAGCACCACGGTGCCCGGGAGTGCCACACTGGGGACCCCTGGTGAAGGCAATTGGGATAGAGAGAGCAGGCAGGTAATGTAGACAGTGGAGGGTGTTATGAGCTGTCTGATTGCCATAACCAGGGGTCATTTCCTGCAGGAGCGCACAGGAGCAGAGCTCCGGCAGTAAAGAGCCCATGCAACAAGCCCCACCCCCTGCTCCCAGCAGCCCTCAGTCAGAGCAAGAAGCAGCCAGGTAAGCTGCAGAGCTCCCCCCCGTCCCCCCGGTCCAAAACAGTCCAGTGGCACCTTTAAGACCATGTTTTATTCAGGTACAAGCTCTCCCTCCTCTGCGAGGACAGATCTACATGTCCCCCCCCCAATAGCTAGCAATCCAAAACAGTCCAGTGGAGCCTGAGGGGTGGGTGTTGCCTTCTGACACACTTCCAGTGATGTCAGGGGGTGTGGCATATGCAAATAAGTTATGCTAATGAGTTATGCTAATGAACTCCTGCAGCTCTTTTTCTATTAAATGAACCCTGGCCATACCATAATTGGTTGGAATCACCCCAGTCTGGTTTCAAAGCAACAGTGGGGGAGCTTCTGGAGTTCTGGCCCCGCTGCTGGACCTCCTGATGGCACCTGGGTTTTGGCCACTGTGTGACACAGAGCGTTGGACTGGAGGGGCCACTGGCATGATCCAACGTGGCTTCTCTTGTGTTCTTATGCACCACGAAATGGTCCTGAACAAATGGCACTTCATCTCCTCTTGAAGACAATGTGTAGAGTTCAAGGCTGCTGGAAGCCTCCACATGTCTCCAAACAGAAACTCTTGCTGGGCCCCTGCTTGCACCGCTGATGTACAGGGGGGGGCATGACTGCTCTCTCGAAGTATTTGAAGGGCTGTCACTTAGAGGAGGGCAGGGAGCTGTTCCTCTTGGCAACAGAGGAGAGGACTCACAATAATGGGTTTAAATTAAGGGCGGGAAGGTACCGGCTGGATCTTAGGAAAAACTTTGTTACAGTCAGAGTTCTGCAAAAGTGGAATCAGCTGCCTGGGGGGGGGTGAGCTCCCCCTCCCTGGCAGTCCTTAAGCAGCGGCTGGACAAACACTTCTCAGGGATGCTCTAGGCAGATCCTGCATTAGGTAGGGGGTTGGACTAGATGGCCTGTAGGACCCCTTCCAACTCTGTCATTCTATGATTCTGTGATTCTATGTCCAAACGAGCACTGCATGACAATTGGTGACATGACGTGCCTGGCTCCATGAGCCCAAGGGGGATTGGGGCCCACAGACTTCCCCAAGACTTCCTGCACTTGACGGCCCTGCTGACTTTTAAAGTGGGGGGGGGGATGGTGATGCTGGTCACTTGACATCCTCCTCCCTTTCTCCGGGGAATGATTGTGGCCAGATTGGCCGACCACAAAGGAAACAGAGGAATGCCAGAGACTAATTCCTTGGGTCTCACAAAGGAAACCACAGCTGGAAGCCAGCCCGGCCCTGCAGGCCGAGCCAGCAACACAGCTGTCCGATTGCCGCTTCCCTGGCGAATCAGCCCAGATCCCTGAGGCGCACGGCTTCTCGGCTCGCCCCGGCTGGTCCCCTTAGCACAGGTTAACTGGTACGGTTGCACTGGATGGCCACAGCTGTCTGGATGGTGTGCAGGGTGGTGGTGGTTTCGGACTTTGCACATTCTGAATGCATCATGCCAAAAAAATAAATTGCATTCATTAGCATGGGTGTGGGGGATTGTTTTGCTGTGGCTAAATGTATTTTTGTAGAGCAAGTGTATTTTTAAACTTGGAATCCTGTGGCAGGGAAGCAAGTCATCGGAGTTTCCTTCAATCGATAAGGGAGGCACCTTCAAGATGAATAGTTTTATCGTGGCTCTAGCTTCCATGGTGCACAGAAGCTGGTGTGGACATATCCCCATGTGTGTGGAACGTGTACCAACAGAAGATAATCGTTCTTGTCCTGTCCAAGTGAACTCCAGACCACAAAAGCTTTTGTCACTCACAACAAGTCTTTAACCTGTCACAAGACTCCAGCGGCTGTGCTGGAACTGTGATTGTCAACCTCCAGGTGAGTCCTGGAGACCTCCCAAGATTACAGCTAACTACAGGTTGTCTATTCCCCTGGAGTTCTCCAGACTAAGGAAATCAGTTTCCCTGGATAAAATGGCAGCCTGGGGGGGGGGGGGGGGGTAGACTCCTTCGAGTAGTGAAGGGCGGGGTATAAATCCAATCTCCTCCTCCTCCTTCTCTTCTCCCCCTCCTCCCTCTCAATCCTGGAAGATACCTAACTCCACTCCTGTGGTTGTATTCTGCTGGGAAAGATCGGTGGGCAGGCTGTCTTTTAAGGACCCTTCTCTACCACTATTGATCTGTGGAGGCAGTAGAATGCCAAGGGCTTCCAAAACACAATGCGAAAGCGACCCCTTTAAGAGGACTCTGTCTTAGTCTACAGCCGTATGTATGAAGTTGCCTTACACTGAGTTAGTCCACTGGACCTGCTAGGTCACTGTTGGCTGTTGGGGCCTTCAGGAACCCAGGGTGAGAAGTTCTTTCCCCAACACCTCTACCCAAGGGCTCAAACCAATGAGATGAAGACCAGATGTCCAAATTGGAAGGTTGCACATCCACAGCATGCAAACAACAGGCTCCTGCAGCCACGGTTTTGCTTTAGGGCTGTGCAGGGAAAGAAGACTGAGTTTTAAGCTTCCAACCTTCACTTCATTTTCACTATTCAGATTTGGGCTTGCTGCTTTGTTTTTGCATTTTGAAGGGGAAATGTATTCTATTAAAACACGTATTTCAGGGTCTGGATATGGTATCTTCGTCAAGTGTATGTGCTAGCACCAAGCAAGGGACCCTCCCATTCTTCCCGAAACTTCTCTTCCAGCCTAGAAACCTTATTGGGGTATACCAGTGTAGGTTCCATACCTACACCAGATGCCACTCCTGACCTGCAGGGTTCCTCAACCAGAACCAGAACAGGGACTGGGCCAATGTGATCAGCTGGGGGTTACTTCTCTTTCTCCCGCCAAAGCCTTGCTGAAATTCAATTTGGAGGGATCCTCTGTTCTCCAGCAGTTGCAGGCTGATTTGCACGTTATGCAGTACATGTTAGGTTTCAGGTCCCCACAATGCAGAACAGTTGAACTGCTACAATCCCCACACATTTAATGCCCAATTCATGGTGCACATGGAGAAGGGGCTATAGCTGTACTGTTTTCCCCACCTGAAATGGAGTCACTATTTGGCTCTTTTGGCAAAACCTTCATGTCTTCCAGGCAGGGTCCATTCCAGGTTTTGGTGGGCTCTGGACAATGAATTCCCCGGGCACCCCTCCCCTCCTCTGCCCACCACCAGTCACTCCTGCCCTCCCACATGCCTCTCACCTGCTTGTGTGTCCTTCCCTTGTCTGCTCAGAAGGACTCCCACTGCCCATGGCCACAGCTTCGTGTGCAGCCCTTTTTCCAGTGGCACTGGGCAGTGCGCACAACAGGGAGCATGGGAGGGGGGGGTGGAATGCTAGCAAGTGAGTGGGCAGGGGGTGCTGGCAGCAGGGGGCTCAGCCAGAAACCCTGGTCCCTGGCAGCTGCCTCAATTTAGCGTATGCTGATGCCAGCCCTCCTTCCAGAGTACAGGTAGGATTCTGCAACAGGCCAAGTAGTACTACCTGGACCATTTCAAGTCAGGAAAAACAGAGTACCATCCTGGGTGCTCTATAATATGTGAATTGGCTTGTGGAGTCTCCTTGGACCTCCACTCCTCTTCTTCCAGTAGCCCATATAGCCTTCCCCACCCCCAATTCCTTTGGGCCTTCTGCTTCTTTTGTGCAAAATAATTTAATTTAGGTGACTCACAGGCACCATGCTAATGCTTTGACTGAGAGTTAGGGTTGCCGTTTCCCTGGTGGGGCCAGGGGATCCCCCGATTTTGGGCCCCCCAATATGCTGCGGCCCAGCTGGCCGGTAGGGGAAGACCCACCCCCAAGAAACCCCCTCTTGGCGCCATGGGCACCAGCGCAATGACATCACCCAGAAGTGACGTCATCGTGTTTCAAAAATCAGGGGCAATGCTCTAGGTTTTGGGCAAAACTCTATGGTTTTGAGACCCCCCAAACCATAGAGTTTTGCCCAAAACCTAGAGTGTCGCCCCCCGACGTTGATAACATGATGATGTCACTTCTGGGTGACATCACTGCAGTTCCAGGAAGGATTGGGAGTCCCATCACTGGCAGCCAGGTAGGACCTGGCAACCCCTTGTTTCAGAAAAAAAGAAGGCACTGAAGTGGCATGCACAGTCTTATTACCTAGCCCACTTGTCCATGCTGCTGTGTTGATATTCGCCACCTCCAATCCATTCTTGATGCCGTACAGTGTGAGGCTGTATTCTTTGTTAGGCGCAAGGTTCCTCAGCACGGCCGAGCGCTCAGCCCCTGGCACTTCAAGTTCCTTAGGTGGTGGGGGGCTCTTTCCACTGCCGACAAGAGAGTCTTTGTATAGGATCCTAAAGGAATCACACTGTCCCTCAGGGACTTCCCACGTGAGCTGCAGAGTGCTGGGGGTCACGTCGGACACAACCAGGTTCCTGAGCAGAGTGACGGGCTTACTGAGGGCTTCTGGGAAAGCTACATGAGAGAGAACAGAGATGAAGGCAGTGAAAAAGGTGGGGGGGGAAAGGAAAGGAGAAATGTCAAATGAGGTGGTTCGGAAGGGTACAGTATATGGTAAGGAGAAATTGCACTTCTTTATCCCTCATAGTTAGGGTTGCCATTTCCCAGGTCTGGGCGGAGAATCCTCTGGTTTGGGGGGGCTTCTGCTCACTGCCGGCGCGGGAAGCCCCACCCACAAACAGCAACATCCCCAAGTGACATCCCCAATGTGATGACATCTCCCAGAAGTGACATCATCATGTCAGGGACGTCGTACAGCAACGCTCTGATTTCTGGCCAAAACTCTATGGTTTGACCCCAATTTTACCACAGAGTTTTGTCCAAAAACCAGAGCATCGCCCCTGACGTCGCTGATGTGATGATGTCACTTCCGGGTGATGCCAGAGTGTCAGGGACACCCCTGCCCACTCCCAGAATGCCTCCCAGATCCTCCCGCCAGCAAGATGAGGGGACTTGGCAACCCTACTCATAATATTGGAAAATCTTAAGATTTCTGTGTTCAGGTAACAATAAGTGCTATATCAGCTCCGGTTGTGGGATTCCTCGAGGCATCTGATTAGTCACTGTTGGAATCAGAATGCTAGACGAAGACCTTTCACACGTGGCTTATGTGCCTCAGGCTTGTTGCTTTGGGGACAATGTGACTAAAGGGCACAGCAATTACAATACATCAGATTACAAAAATTGCTGCAGTAGTTCAAACATTTACAGAATAAAGACAATAATATGTTGGCATTTCCATGTTGTTTTAATCCAATGTTTCTTTTTTCAACAGGTCAGGACATCAAGTCACTGAAGTGCTTTACGAACTTCCTCGAGTTTCAATGTTCGTTTCGAGGCATATCTTTATCAAAATTCTGTTTTGTTGTAATTCTTTCACAGAGCAATCCAATGCTAAAGAAGTTGATACACTCCCGAATGGCTTTAACGTTGTCCGTTAAAAGGAACTATTTGTTAACTTGGGAGCTATTCTACGAGGAAGTTCGTAAAGCACTTCAGGACTTGATGTCCTGACCTGTGGAAAAAAGAAACATTGGATTAAAACAACATGGAAATGCCAACATATTATTGTCTTTATTCTGTAAATGTTTGAACTATTGTTGCTTTGGGGAGGCAGGTTTCCCCCCACTTTCCTAAGGGCCAGTTTGGTGTAGTGGTTAAGTGCGTGGATTCTAATCTGGGAGAATCGGGTTTGATTCCCCAGAAGGTTCTGAAGAACTCAAAAAGGCCTGTACTCACTATTCTGCACTGTTTTGACCAGAGGTCATTTCGGGGGGGATCGCAGTTCCCCCGGGTGAGGTATGGGGGGCGGGGCACATGACGAAGCCCCGCCCCCTGCTTCCGGCCGCCCCGCTCCGAGTGAAGGGAGGGCTATAAATCCAATCTGTTCTTCTTCTTCTTCCTACAGCATCACAGTACCTTCATGTGTTTCCCCGTTTCCCCCCAAGCTTTTTTCCTATCTTCCCCAAGCTTTGCTGCAAAGCTTCACAAGAGACCACAGCAAAGCTTGGTTGGCTACTATGCGGGAGGGAAAATCCACCTGTTCCCTCCTCCCCAGAAGCAGCTATTTTCCCTGCCCCAGTCCCTACAACAAGCTGCACCATTTTACCCTGAAACATGCGTTTTCTCCCCCGGTCCCTCTTATTTTATAGTAAATCCTGCCAGATTAAGAAGGTTCTGAAGAACTCAAAAAGGCCTGTACTCACTATTCTGCACTGTTTTGACCAGAGGTCATTTCGGGGGGGATCGCAGTTCCCCCGGGTGAGGTATGGGGGGCGGGGCACATGACGAAGCCCCGCCCCCTGCTTCCGGCCGCCCCGCTTCCGGCCCTCATTCAGCCAGGAGGAGGCAGGAGAAGAGGGAGGGTAAGTTGCTTCCTCCCTGCCTCTCCCCACCCCTGCCTGCCTGGGGCCAGGGAGGGCCTTCGCGGGGCTTCCTTGCACTCCTGCCGGCCTTGCAGGTCTACCGCCGGGCCCCTCATGGGGCTCGGCAGTGGAGCTGCAAGGCAGGCAGCGGCGGCCGGGACCGTTGGGGGCAGGGTGTGTGGCTTTATGACACACTTCCGGTGATGTCAGGGGGTGTGGCCTTATGACACACTTCCAGTGATGTCAGGGGGTGTGGTATATGCTAATGAGCTATGCTAATGAGTCCCCCTAGCTTTTTTTCTACGAAACGACCCCTGGTTTTGATCGTCGTTTCTCCAAGCTAAAGAGCCCTAAGCGCCTTAACCGTTCCTCATAGGGAAAGTGTTCCAACCCTTTTATCATTCGAGTTGCTCTTTTCTGCACTTTTTCCAAAGCTATAATATCCTTTTTAAGGTGTGGTGACCAGAATTGCACACAGTATTCCAGATGAGGTCGCACCATTGATTTATATAGCGGCATTATGATATTGGCTGATCTGTTTACAATACCCTTCCTAATAATCCCCAGCATAGCATTGGCCTTCTTTATTGCAGTCACACACTGTCTCGACATCTTCAGTGAGTTATCTACTACAACTCCAAGATCTCTCTCTTGATCAGTCTCTGCCAGTTCAGACCCCATCAACGTGTATTTATAGTTAGGATTTTTGGCTCCAATGTGCATCACCTTGCACTTGGCCACATTGAACCCCATTTGCCATGTTGACGCCCACTCGCCCAACTTTGACAGATCCCTTTGGAGTGCCTCACAATCCTCACTGGTTTTCACCACCCTGAACAACTTCGTATCATCCGCAAATTTAGCCACTTCACTGCTTACTCCCAACTCCAAATCATTAATGAACAAGTTAAAAAGCAGTGGACCAAGTACTGATCCCTGTGGTACCCCACTGCTTACACCCCTCCACTGGGAGAACTGCCCATTTATACTCACTCTCTGTTTTCTATTAATTAGCCAGTTTTTGATCCATAAAAGGACTTGTCCTTTTATCCCATGATTTTTGAGCTTGCTTAGGAGCCTTTGATGAGGAACTTTATCAAAAGCTTTCTGGAAGTCAAGGTAAACAATATCTATTGGATCCCCCTTGTCCACATGTTTGTTCACCCCCTCAAAGAACATTAACAGGTTAGTGAGACAAGATCTTCCCTTACAGAACCCATGTTGAGTCTGCCTCAATAGGTTTTGTTCATCTATGTGCCTACTAATTCTTTCCTTAATAATGGTTTCCACCAATTTACCCGGTATCGACGTCAGACTGACTGGCCTGTAATTTCCCGGATCTCCTCTGGAACCCTTTTTAAAGATGGGAGTGACATTAGCTACCTTCCAGTCCTCAGGAATGGAGGCTGATTTTAAGGAGAGATTACATATTTTTGTCAGGAGATCCACAAGTTCACAATTGAGTTCTTTCAGAACTCTTGGATGTATGCCATCTGGGCCTGGTGATTTATCAGTTTTTAAGTTGTTTATCAGTTTTAGGACCTCCTCTCTCGTCACCTCAATCTGACTCAGGTCTTTCAACACCCCTCCCGAACTCAGCGGCTCTGGAGTGGGCAAGCACCTCTCATCTTCCACAGTGAAGACGGAGGCAAAAAATGCATTTAGCTTCTCAGCCATTTCCCTATCATCCTTCAGTACTCCTTTTACCCCTTGGTCATCCAAGGGCCCCACTGCCTCCCTGGCTGGTTTCCTGTTTCTAATGTATTTGAAGAAAGTTTTATTGTTGGTCTTTACATTTTTTGCTATATGCTCCTCATATTCCCTTTTTGCATGCCTGACCACAGACTTGCATTTTATTTGCCATAGCCTGTGTTCTGTTTTATCAGCCTCACTGTGACTAGCTTTCCACCGCTTAAAGGAATCCTTTTTACCTTTTACAGCTTCCATTACTTTGTTTGTTAACCATGTAGGCTTTTTCTTATACCTGTTTGTGCCTTTCCTAACCTGCGGAATATATTTTATTTGAGCTTCTAGAATTGTAGTTTTAAACAGTTTCCAAGCTTCCCCAATGGTTTTGACCCTTTCTACTTTTCCCTTCAGTTTCCTCCCCACATGTCCCCTCATATCAGAAAAATTACCCCTTTTAAAGTTAAAAGTGGTTGTGTGAGTCTTTTTGGCCAATTCCCTATTTGTACAAATGTTGAACTCAACAACATTATGATCACTGTTCCCAAGCGGTGCAATCACTTTTACATCTCTCACCAGGTCTTGAGTGTTACTTAGGACCAAATCAAGGATCGCCTCTCCCCTGGTAGGTTCCATGACCATCTGCTCCATAGCACAGTCATTTAGAGTGTCTAGAAACTCAATCTCTTTCTCTCGACTAGAACACATATTGACCCAATCAATGTGTGGGTAGTTAAAATCACCTATTACGACACAGTGTTTTTGTCTAGCTGCTATCTTTAATTCATTCATCATTTTATAATCCTCCTCTATCTTTTGATCCGGTGGGCGATAACAAACTCCCAGTGTTAAGTTTCCTTTTGGCCCCCCTATTTCAACCCACAGAACTTCAAGAAGCGAATCCAATTCTCTTAGCCTCTCGATCTTTCTGGACTTTATACCCTCTCTGACATACAGAGCCACCCCACCTCCAACCCTTCCCCCCCTATCCTTCCGATATAATATATAACCGGGAATCACCGTATCCCACTGATTTTCCTCATCCCACCAAGTTTCTGAAATACCCACAATGTCTATTTTTCCCTCTGACACCAAGCACTCCAACTCCCCGATTTTACCTCGGACACTTCGAGCATTTGTATAGAAACAGCTGTAATTTCCCATACTGGTTAAGCCTGCCACCTTCCTCTTGCAATCTCGAGACCTTGTCAGGCAGTCCATGTCACTAGCCATGGTCTCAGTGGACAATTTCAATCCACCTCCCTGTAGAAAAGCAACAGGTACCCCCTCATCTCTCTGAGATGAGCCAACCCGAACCAGAGACTTTTCATCTCCTGTCGGCTTTCCCCCAATATTCAGTTTAAAAACTGCTCTGCCACCTTTTTGATTTTAAGCGCCAGCAGC